GCATTCCTTCCTCAATCGCTGTCCAGATGCATGTGGATTTCACTCTCTTCATCTTCTCACTCATTTGCCCATCCAGCCACACATCCATCCATGTTTAAGAGCCAATTGATACATCTACTTAATATTCGCTCTTGCCCTCTACCCGATAAATTAAAACAAACATCAGAGCCTTTCAATATCATCCGGCTTGACTCAATTACCCAATTCCTAATGCAATAAGCTGCGGCAAGTCTTTTTTGACTAACATGCCCCAGTTTCTGCTTTTGTGTGCAGACTCACTTCGTCGCGTTGAAAGGACTTGACAACGTACCCAATCTGCGCGTGTCCATGCTTGCTTCCCAGCCCTGCCTCGTCTGGGGCAGGCTTTCATTGTGATGAAACGCGCCAGTTCCCTCCACCCAACAAAAGTTCTCCACATACTTGATGAAGTTGCTGCCGTCCACCTCCGTGGGCAGGTAGCAGGCGATTGCTTTAAAGAAATAGTTGCCAGACGCTACAATCACACTGCCAATCAGAAGAAGCAGCACTGAATAGCCGAAGTTCATTTGGTCCACCCAGTCCTCGACGCCAAGAATACTGTCCAGTCCCTTGTCCTGATACAATTTATTCAATTCATTTTTCAACAAATTCATTTTCCTCCGCTAATCACTACGCGTAAGACGAGTCACGGTGCTGAAAGAGAATGTTTAGAGAACTGGTAGAAAAAAGCACAACTCGTGTTGGAGAAGTAGATTTACTCACAAAAAGGGTTAAACCCGTCCCAAAATTGGGTGCATGTGAAGAGGCGATGGGGGAGATTGGTAGAGGATAAACTTTCCCTTAAAATAGTGTACATTTGTATACATTTTTGCTCTCTATAAGTTGGCATGTGTGAATAGTACAAATTAAACAAGAGAATCTTCTCATGTTTAATGTATTGTATGTAAAAATTAAATAGAATTCCCATAAAATGATGAAATGTACACACTTACAAGCAGTAAAAATACCCCTGACAGTATTGGCCATGAAGATCATCTGCAAATGCTTGGACAATCCAAACATAGTGTCTCTGGCCTGTTACCATGACAATATGAGAGCAGATACAAAGAGAAACTGGGTTTCGATGAATCTCCTGAGATAACATTGTTAGAAGGACCTTCATTTCGTA